GTGTGACGGAAAACTCTTTGACATCATGACGTCAATGGATGGTTGTCAAACGTTGCCTAGAGATTGTAAATTTCGTCGTGAATTGTCAACACGAGTTGGTGTAATCGGTAAGGCGTGTGGATTACACCACAGAGACCCCGAGTTCGAGTCCCGCCGTAAACATGAAGTTTTTTAGTTGATGGAAGTTTTGTCGAACTTTCTGGAATTATTTGAGTGAAAGAAATGAAAAATTAAGGAGCGAGAAGGAGAATAAATAAAAATGAATAACGAAATTATTGGAAGGTTCTGGAGGCATGACGATCAAAAAGAATAACGAAATTGAATGTTCTAGAACCTGACCGGGGGTATATAAGCGGAACTGCGGCTCACCGCTGGCAGTTGAGTTCTAAGTCTAAAGCGATTCGGAAGAAAAGGAAGAAGTGGAAAAGAAGAAAAGTGAGTGAAATAGTGAAGTGCAGTGAAATAGTGAAGTGCAGTCAGTTAAGTGAGTTAAGTCAGCGTGAACGGCAAAGTTGTGTCAGTCGGCCGGACTCTGCTGGAGAAGAACGCCGATAACTTAACTCCGTGGACGCTGTAACTTAAGTGCAATAGAAAGTCTGAAAACCGGTATTAGTGTTTCATTTCATCCAATCCCGTAACCCAAGCCCGCATAGTCAGGAACGTGACGTCAGGCACGTAACAATAATAACTATCGTGAGACATACTAAATTAACTAAAAATCGCGGGTTACGAGATTACGAGAGTAGGCTGCGCGACGTCGCCGCGTCCGCGCACGCTGCTCATAAAGAAGAACCCCTCTGTGTTTGAACCGCTTATGGACAAAGGAGTTACTACAAGGGCATTGTCGGCCTCTTGTGGGTTGTGAGGGGTTTATCGTGGTGTGGAGAGTAGGAGAGCCATGCTTCGGCACGAATGGGTCGGCTCGACCGGAGTGATACCACGGCCTCACAGAATACCGACGTAAAACAACCACAGCGTTGTGTTTCGCCTTTCATTGTGGTTACCGGAGGCCCAATCCTTCCCCTCCCCCGATCCCTCTCAATCTCTAAATCTCCAAAACCCTAATCCCTAAAAGGTCGGCAACGCACTGGTTACTCCTCCGTTACGGGTGTCCATGGGCCACGCTGATTACTTACCATCAGGTAATACGTCTGCTCCTTTGCCGACATATTCAATAAAAAAAAAATCGATAGGAGTTTTGAGTAGTAGTAGTAAGTAGTATTTGGTCTCCAGTAATCTCACTCACACGGCGAAACACAATGAAAGTATTTCTTCAAAAAGGTTTTTCTGTGAGGCCGTGTTTTCCGTGCGACGCGGCCCATTCGTGTTGAAGCAGAGGAGAGGCAAAAGAGAGGCAGAAGTTGAAGAGACTTGAATTCCAGTGAACTATTCGGAGCTGATGGTAAGCATGAACTATAAAAGAGACGGACCTCCGTATTTGTTTCGGGTATTCTTCTCATTAAAAGTGCTTCTTTGTCTATACTAATATTATAAAGAGGTAAAGTTTGTAAGTTTTTATGTAGGGGAATCCGATCCTGTTGGTTCCAAAGATTTCCCCCTACATACAAACATACAAACTTACAAATTTTACTTCTTTAAAACATTAGTATAGACTAGCTATTATTAGATTACTACAAACATTGTTGAAAAATTTGTAAAATATCTTGCGAAATTTCGTCAGAGAGAACTAATGACTCTTTGTGCCAAATTTAATGACGGTAATTCATTGTTTACTTACAAAACAATGGGGGAACAAGAGTGCTTTATTTCTTGTAGTTATTTCGAGAACTATGACGTGCTTGGATGTTCAAACAAATGTACCTACGTATACTTGAGTGCATACGTCCATTTGTTCTTCTAAGTGTGGGAGAGCCATGCTTCGGCACGAATGGGTCGGCTCGACCGGAGTGATACCACGGCCTCACAGAAAACCAGCGTCAAACAACTCCAGCGTTGTGTTTCGCCGTGTGAGTGAGGTTACCGGAGGCCCAATATTCCCCCAATCCCTCCTAATTCCCAAAATCTCCAAATCCCTAATCCCCAAAAGGTTGGCAACGCACATTACTTCTCCGTCGTTGCAGGTGTCCATGGGCGGCGCTGATTGCTTACCATCAGGGAATCCGTTTGCTCGTTTGCCGACCGTGGCATCACTCCGGTCGATTCCGACCCATTCGTGCCGAAACATGGCTCTCCCACACTTAGCATGTATGATCTCATCGCATATTCAACGACCATTATAGGCCCTCAGTTTAAATCGGTTTTTAAACCAACTTAACAGGACATGTTTATGTATCAAGGCTTTCTTAAATAAAATAAATTTACATAATAACAATAATATCCTTCATTCAGAACGTAAAATTCACAGTAAATGCATTTATCTTTCAAAATGGCGTCATTGTCGATTGAAACTTTCAAAATACGCCGTTAAACATTCAAGTGGCGGCCATGATTCTTTTTTCGGTCGTCAAATGTCAAATTAAGATCACTCGGTTGAATGAATGGATTGAGTTAGTTCATTAGATTGGGTTGTTTATTTATTTATATAATCAACAATAATAAATGATGTCGACTTTGTAAAAAGATAAACAAAAAACTAATTACACTTTCACTTGTTTTACGCTACACTTAATTCGTATTATTCTAGCAATATACATTTGTTATTTTAGCTAACTTATAGAACACTAGCTACTCTCGCACGGTTTCACTCGCTGCTCGGCTCCACTTGATTGTAGCGTGATGTTTTACAGCCTATATCACTCAGGAACATTGTAGCTATCTATCAGTGAAACTGCGCGGAGGTAGCTAGTTAAGAATATAGTTACGTTAAAGTCAGTAATTAACTGACTGACAATTAACATGAGCAGGAGAAGGAACGGGGGAGTTTTTAGTCAGTAAGAGTCTGACACTCTCTCTCGCTCCATCCAGAACGGGAGAGGAAGAAGACAAAGAATGCAGACACATTTGACACAACCAAAACTCAAATTATATGATACTAGCTACTCTCGTACGGTTTCACCCGCTGCTCGACTCCATTTGATCGCAGCGTGATGTTTCATAGCTTATAGCACTCAGGAACATTGTAGCTATCTGTTAGTGAAATAATTTTGGCAATTCGACCAGCGGTTCTGAAGATAACTCCCTTCGTACAAACTTACAAATTTTACCTCTTTATAATATTACTTTAGAAGTATAGATTAATAAGCTTCCACCAGCATGGTATGTTGATAAAAAGTAGCCTATGTCCTATTCCGGAGTGTATCCTATGCCTGTGCCTAATTTCATCCAGATCCGTCCAGTGGTTTTAGAGTGATTGAGTAACAAACATCCAAACATCGTAACTTTCGCATTTATAATATAATTAAAAATTATTTGACAACTACAGTGATAGTAGTTTTATTTGTGGGAGAGCCATGCTTCGGCACGAATGGGTCAGTCCTCCACGGCCTCACAGAAAAACTGGTGTGAAGCAACACTCACGTTGTAATTCGCCATGTGAGTGAGGTTACCGGAGGCCCAATCCTTCCCTATCCACAAATCCCCTACCCTTAAATCCCTAATAACCCACTAGACGCCGTCAACGCACTTGTAGTAACTCCTTTGGTATTACAAGTGTCCATTAGCGGCGCTAATTGCTTACCATCAGGTAATCCGTTTGCTTTTTCCTGACATAAGACATAAAATAAAGGTAAAAAAGTCCTTATGCTATGTTAGCGCCATCTATTGACCAGGAAACGAAAGTTTTCATAGTTGACGATGCTAAGCTATCACTCAGCGGTACAAAGAGAAAATTCTAATGAAAAGTAGATCTTGGTTTGTTTATCATTCAAAGGGAAATATAACAAAAGACGAACGGGGAGCCAAATGGATTAATAACCTATTGAAAACAAAGAAAATGATATTTGAATGTTCTTAGTGCTAGCGTCATTGGACGCAGCCGGGAATTTGTGAGCGAGTGCTACAATTTAAGTGTGGGAGAGCCATACCACGGCCTCACAGAATACCAGCGTGAAACCACCACAGCGTTGTGTTTCGCCATATGAGTGAGGTTATCGGAGGCCAATGCACAGTTTCACCCCTCCCACCCCATCCCATTAATGTCAAAACAATATTAAAACATTGTATGGTAGTATGGTGGAGTGTTTTTGTTCCGCCAATCCGTCTTGAGCAAGAGAGATCAAACCTTCTTCATGATGAGAAGAAGCCTTTGATTAGCAGTAGACATCTTATAAGCTGTAGATTTTTTACCCGACCACGGCAAAGTAAAAGGAGGGTTATGATTTTGACAGGCTATGTATGTATGTGTGTTCATCTGTTCCCTCGTAACTTCTAAACTACTTATCAGAATTTGACAAATGACATATCATTAGAAACGTCTTAATTGTCCGCTGGTTATGGACTATATGGGGTATTACAAAATGTAATGTGGCGTCTTCTAGCGGACAAAGCATTTTTCTTTTTGGATTTTTTTGAAATAAACTTTGCCCCACATTAGGATTTTCTCCTGGGTCATATTATAAACATACACATGACACCCAGACCCGGAACAACAATTTGTGGATCACACAAAGAGTTGTTCCGTGCGGGAATCGAACCCGCGACACGTTGCACGGCAGCCAGTTGCCCAGCCACCGCACCAACCGTGCAGTCAATTTCAAATTCTATTTCAAAACGTTGTCAAAGTGCAGGTATGGTAAGTAAATAAATGTAACGTGTGACTACGCCTTTCAGTATTCTGAAAGTCTTGTTTTATACTTTTTCACCGTCGCATTTTGTCGTAGTTGGCTTTTAGTTTTTATACTTTATATATTTTTTTTTGTTTTTAAACAAAACGTTGCCCCACATTAGGATTTTCTCCTGTGTCGTGGGTGTGTTTACAAACATCCAATTTTACATACACATCACACATAGACCTGGAACAACAATTTGTGGATGACACTGTTGTACGCCAACCCAGCCACCGCACCAACCGTGCAGTCAAAAGTATTTTATTAAAGACTTACGTTGAATCTCCTGTTCTTTTTCCTCGATTTCTTTTCTGTATGCAGCAATGAGCTCCCTCGTTCTCTCAGCTTCAGAACATCTTGTGTCTTCTAGCTCTGTCAGGGAGGCCACTTGGGATTGGTATTTCGAATCTTGAGAGACCAAGGTTTTCCTGTAAAAATGAGAAGTTAATTTTTAGTCTTATATTTCTTACTAGCTCTTACCCGCGGCGTCGCTCCCATCAATTGACTACCTACCCCTACTCTATCTACTCTACCTACCCTACCCTACTCTACCCTACTCTACGTCGATCTGTTACGAACTCTGAAATAAAATCTAAGAATCTGAATTTTACACATTTCTTTTTGTTATTTCAGGAACAAAGAGTTAAGTTCCTTAATATTGGTAAAGGGGGATCCTCCGAGCAGGAGAGGCGATCATGCCTGGCGGGCTATTGCCCGACGGTTGTTCCCGGGATTTTTGTATCAGTTCTAACCGAGTCGAGAACTCTTATACCGCGATGTAGGACCTTGAACGTGATTGGTGCTGTTCAGAGGGGGGACAGTGCCCTTCATCCACCAAGATCGCAAAGATAGAGGTGCCATCTTATATTTGTAACTTAAAAATACTCAATGTCTTCTTAAGTGACTAGTATCACAATAGATGTCACTGTCCTGGTGTTGCAGATCTAAAGAACTGCTTCAATAATGGGTATAAATAACCAGTCATGTGAATTTAAATAAGGCTTATAAATATATTTAAAGTGTATCAATTAACTAATAACTTTTATTTTTATTTTATTTTTTTAGCGGCTGTTACTATATTTTTGGATGACAGCCGTTACTTCATGTAACGCATTAGGGAATTCATTATATTAGAGCATGGCAACACCAGTCTTTTAAATTTTGACGTTGACAGATCACACGCACGATGTTTGTTAATTTGAATTAGTTTGGTCTGTTTTTTAATTCCGGAGCCCTTCCTGGCAATTAAACCCAATCTATACAACTGTAAAATATTTTGACTGTATGGGTCAGTTCAATGGCTGGAATTAAAAACAGGTTAAATCAAAATCTATGTATAAATATGGTGATGCATATATTATAGATAGGTATGAATATAGCATGCATTCGTTTCTGGTTACAAAATCCAGAGGGCGCTTGAATTTGTATGCCAAAAAAATACGCAAGAGTTCTCCCCCTTTATTACTTTACTCTTTGGTGCTGTTGCTGCATGCTGTGCGATAGATGACGCTACAGCTGTATCACCATGAAACTTGACAATTGTGTTAGATTTTTTTTTTATTTGCCCATTTATTTCAGGCGTCGAAGGCCCATATAAACATATACAATACTATATTTTCTACAACTTAACAATACTATAAATATTTATTACATAATTAACTTATTGATTTGTATATATTTCAACATATATATATATATATATATATATATATATATATATATACTAGCGGCCCGCCCCCGCTTCGCACGGGTCCAACTATCTCGCTATCTAAGGGTCACTTTTTCCCAATTTTCCCCTCATCTGTTTTTCTAATATTTTCTTTGATAAGAACCCTCTCCTGACAATAACAAACATGACAAAAAAAGAATTGGCCAAATTGGTCCAGGCGTTATTGAGTTATGCGCTTACAACACATTTTGCGATCCATTTTTATATATAAGATTACATAATATTAAACTATAACACTAGGGCACATGAAGTGACGGCGTCATGTTTCGCTGACTAGTGTCATGTAGGCGGCCACGAAACCGGCGATACACGACACCCTTCGGCCAAAACTCTTCCTTGAGGAACTTCTCGAGATGGTGTGTCGGAACTCGCACCACGAATAACGACTTGAAGTTCGTGTTGTGTCGCGGCTCCAACCTCTCGACCCTCAAGGTCCAGTTGGTCTTGACGCGCATATTAGATGACAATACAATATTATTGGTTTGATGATGGAATGGATGCTGATGACGCTAACGTTGTAGTGGCCAACGTTAAAGCATCTCATGCATGAGGGTGCAGGCTCGAAATCTGGCAAGTAGGTACATATATGTCTTTTTCTGAGTTATATGTGCTTCCTATTTCTATAATTATTTAGCCTCCGCTGACATACGGTGAAGGAAAGCATCGCTAGGAAACCTGGATTTATATTGGATAATTTGTAAGAATAAGTTTGAAATTGCTATTAACCCGATTACGCGAAACACAATGTTTTCTACTGTGTCAACTGGCTGTCGTGCAACGTGTTGCGGGATCCATTCCCGCACGGAACAACTCTTTGTGTGATCCACAAATTGTTGTTCCGATGTCTAGGTGTGATGTGTATGTGACATTGTATGTTTGTAAACGCACCCACGACACAGGAGAAATCTTTGTGTGGGCGCCATATAAAAAGAAAGAAAGAAAGAATAACTTACGAGAATCAACTGAGAAAAGCTCGACTAGTTTCGAGTTACAACGGGACTCTTATTCATGAGGAGCGTGCGCGTCGCGGTGACGTCGCGCAGCCGACTGAGTTGGCTTAGTTCACATAAGTAAGTAATTATTTCTAATAACTTTCTATATCTCACTATATCTCAATATTTGTTTTCTATACTAATATTATAAAGAGGTAAAATTTGTAAATTTGTATGTAGGGGGTAATCTTTGGAACCGCTGGTCGGATTGCCAAAATTCTTTCACTGATAGATAGCTACAATGTTCCTGACTGCTATAGGCTATAAAACATCACGCTACGATCGAAAAGAGCCGAGCAGGCGGGTAAAACAGCGTGAGAGTAGCTAGTTAGTAATACTCAACGAATGGAAATATTGCATTACAGTTTTATGATATCTGAAAGCAAGTTCCAGAGATAATAGCGTCTTAAACTGAACGTACATAAATTCTATCTGCAGTTTTATTAATCTTATATATAAAAATGGATAGCAAAATGTGTTGGTAAGCGCATAACTCAACAATGCCTGGACCAATTTTGCTAATTCTTTTTTTGTTGCGTTTGTTATTTTCAGGAGAAGGTTCTTATCCAAAGAAAATATCAGAAAAGTAGAGGGGAAGATTAGGAAAAAGTGACACTTTGGTAGCATGATAGATGGGCCCTTGCGAAGCGGGGGCGGGCCGCTAGTGTATTATACATATGTATTTATAGAAATCTACATGGTTTACTAATATTATAATAGCGAAAGTGCTGTTTGTCTGTCTTGGACGACGACGGATCTCATGATATAATAAGCGATCGGCGATTTAAGTGTGGCAGAGCCATGGGTCGGTTCGACCGGAGTGATACCACGGCCTCACAGAATACCGACGTAAAACAACCACAGCGTTGTGTTTCGCCGTGTGAGTGAGGTTACCGGAAGCCCAATCCTTCCCCTCCCCCAATCCCTAAATCTCCAAATCCCTAATCCCTAAAAGGTCGACAACGCACTCGTAACTCCTCCGTTGCGGGTGTCCATGGGGGGCGCTGATTGCTTACCATCCGGTAATCCGTCTGCTCGTTTGCCGACCTATTAAATAAAGAAAAAAAAAGTTAAAAACCTCACTCACACAACGAAACACAACGCTGTGGTTATTTCACGCCGGTGTTCTGTGAGGCCGTGGTATCACTCCGGTCGAGCCGACCCATTCGTGCCGAAGCATGGCTCTCTCACACTTCAATAACTAACTAACTTCGTGATTAATGTTATTTTATTTGTATCCTTATCTTGTTTCACATTATTCAAATCAAATCAAATCAAAATCATTTATGCCCGGTTTCTGAAGGCGTCGGTTATGTTTAAAATAGTTGTTGGTTCAATAAAGTTATCAATAAGATAAACGTCGGTTAACTGTCACTGCGTTTCTGAATACGCAACGAGCCGTTTAATAACTATGTTAAGGATAGCGGGTTCCTTAATTTGCCAATAGATGGGTCTTTTAAGGATAACAACTAAATTTTGATTTTATTTATTCTATTTCAGCTTTATTACATGTTTAATAGGTAAATATTTTTTTTCAAAGTTAAGTTTTAAGTTATCAAAAACTGTTTCATTTAAAATATAATGATAATTTGTTATTTAGCATTGGCTGTATTGAACACCGTCTCAGTGTCAATTAGAAAAAAAGAAACGTCAAACAGACATTGTTGACGGTTGCTTTGGTCGGTTGTAGGTACTGGAGAGCTAACTTTGCTATTTCCTTACTAACTTTATAAACCACTCTTGACACTTTACTTTTATGAACGTTCATGTCATCACCGATCAGAACTTGGAATGTGCCTGTCGCGTAAAATCGTAATGCGATGAAGATTTGTTCCAACACAGATAAACTGTATTTGCGATGCGTGGAAGGAACTAGAGCAGGGCTGATGATATCACTGATATGTATCACAGTATTCTTGTTATAACGATATCTTAAAGTAAACTCTTCATCAGTAAACATTTCTAAAGGATTTCTCCTTTGTCTTAAGTTTCTAGGTACAGAAATACTAGAAATAAACTCTAGTACTTCCATATCGGACTCAGATGAACTGCTTGTATTTAATATGCTCCTCGAACCAATAGCGCTATCGAATCGATAAACTGTCGTTAACTGTACCTCAGAAACCGGGCATTACTCCAACTAAACCATAAATAGGTACTTTTGAAACGTCAAAATAGAATAGTAGTCTGTCAGTCTGTTCGTCAGTGAAGCTAGGTTCGTAGCTAAGCTCGTTCCAAATTGGAATTTCGAATGGTGAAGAACGAGCAAGAAACCCCATCGTTACTCTTTAAAAAAAAAAATGGTTTATAAATTGTTGATATTTTTATTTAAATGTTAATGTATTCGTATTCGCTTAACTTCGTCAATTTTGTTCCTATTGTAATTTTCCTTAGTTTAATGTTTATGTTTACATATGGTGAGTGATGTGTACATCTGTTAAAGATATAGGTACCTACATACAAGAACTCTGTCTCAGTCATAAAATTACAAAAATGTATTTTATGTATGAAACAATGAAACAATGAATTTATTTTTGCAAATAGGCCATAAAACGGCACTTTTATAAGTGTGGGAGAGCCAAGCTTCGGCACGAATGGGTCGGCTCGACCGGAGTGATAGCACGGCCTCACAGAATACTAGCGTGAAACAACCCACAGCGTTGTGTTTCGCCGTGTGAATGAGGTTACCGGAGGCCCAATCCCTCCC